TTTTTTTTTTTTTTTTTTTTTTTTTTTTTAACAGAGTCTCACTTAAGTAGCTAAAGCTAGGGTTGAATTTATGTTCCTTCTACCTCAGTCTCTCCAAGTGCTGGGATTGCAAGCGAGTGCCTCAACACCCAGCCAGTTTGGCTCGGAAATGAAAGTCACATATGCTGAAGGCCAGCTGGTGACTAGGAAATGGTGGAAACTTGAGGAGGTGAGGACTAGCGGGGAGAAGTAGGTCACTGGAAGCATGCCTTCAAAGGTCTGCCTGGACCCTGGCCTCTCGCTCCTTTCAGTAAGCAGCCTCCTCCGCTACATGCTCCTGCTGCTGTCATGTTCTGCTTTGCCACAGGTTTAAAAGCAACATAATCAGCTGAATGTAGACTGAAAGTATGAAACCATAAGCCCAAATAAACCTTTCCTCCTTTTAAATGTTTTCCTCAGATATCTCATCAGTGACAGCTGACTAACATAACTGTCTTCCCAATTCCTGTGAGTGGACAACCTTACATTTGTCCCACAGACACCACCCTATTGCAACACAGCCCTCCTTCCTCACCTGAATTGTTCAGGTAGCTTCTAGCTGGATCCCATGCTTCACTTTACACCAATGTAAACAAACCTGCTGTTTTCATTTTTATCCAGTGCAATCCTTCACAAATTCAATTGCTATCACAAAAGTAGTCAAAATCTTGTAAATACTTCCTCTCACGCTTAGAATAAAATCAAACTTCTTACCACCACTATGACCAACCCCGCCTACACCATCCTATACAATTCTCCCCTCATCTGTCTTTTGTGCATCATGGATCATATGATTTAGTTTGACAAAGGAACTGTAATGCTGGAAAAGGTCTGTAAATCAGAGGTGCAGATTTCAAGAGAAAATGCTATCTCAAAGATTTTCAGAATCTCTAGTTAAGAGAGACTTAACTAAGGTAAAATTAGTCTTTCTCAGCAGCCTAACTGGTTTCGTGCCCGTCTAAACACACAAGTGCATGAAATATGTATTCATTTATAGAGACAAAGAAAGATTCTGAACCCTTAGGAATTTGTTTATGAGCCCTTCTCCTGAATACACACCTGCTAAACACATCCAGTTTCTCGTCATGAGAATTGAGATGCTGTTGCAACTGTTCTGAGCTTATAAACCGGCGGTTACATTCATAGCAGGGCCAATTCTTCTCTTGCTCACGAAGAACTACACACACAAGAGAGAAATCATAAAGGCTGATGATCAACAGACACCAGTGAAATTTAGATGCTCACTATCGACACCATTATCTCACTGTGGACAGAATCTGCTATTTATACTACTTTTTTGTTATAAAATCAAAGGCTAAAATTTGACAGAGAGGTGGTTTTTAGGATCTTATTTTCTAAAACATTCATGCAAGACATCAAAGGGACAACACCCTCACACTACTCTCTCTTGTCCTGAAATGTACACACACAAACCTTACCAAACTATAAAGACAAGAAATGCTGCAAAGACCTAGTGGTTCAGACCCAAATTTCACTGTTTAAGGTTATATTAAATCACAAATAACTTAAAAGTCAATGAGTAACATAATCACATTAGCAAAATATTTAGAAATATCACCTAAGGTGAAATACATGAATATCTTAAGACCTGGTAACTACACTTCCAGATGTGCATGAAGCATAAGAATGCACCAGCATTTCATTAGAAGACATGTATAAGAATGGTCATGGTGGCACTCTTTAAAATGGCAAAAGTTGCAAATGATCCTATTAGAATAAGAATCTGGCTGGCCCTTTCCGCTGGGTCATGGGAGGTAACCTGTGTATCCGTGGAATCTCCTGAGAGACAGAAGTGTCTGTTACTCACGAGCCCCTCATCTTACAGATCTTTACTCTGAAGTGATGACTCAGCGTGGGGAATGGCCACACCAGAAAGCCCAGCTCTGTGATTAGAAGGCTGATGTTTCAACTGGGTAATGCCAGCCTCCAGGACAGGAGACGGTAAGTTTAATCCTACGGCCAGTGATTCAGTCAATTGTGCCAATGCAGTGACACTTCAATTAAAAACTGGACACTGAAGCTCAGGTGAGTGTCTGTGGTTGGTAATGATATATCAATGTGCCAGGAAGATGGTACATACTAAAGACACAGAACCTTTATCATGGGGCCCTCCCAGACCTCACCCTATGTGTTTCTTCATTTGGCTGATCCTGATGTATATCCTTTGTAATAAAACTGTAATCATTAAGTAAAGTGCTTCCCTCGTTATATGAGTCATCCTACAGAACTATCAAACCTGAGTAAGTTCTAGGAGCCCTCTAAATCAATAAATGGCCAGAAGGACAGGTGACTTGGGAATCATAGATCTTTTCTGTGGTGTCTGAAGTGTCTGTGAAATCTGACTGGACTTGGCGTAGTTACTAATATAACTGCACTGCACAACCAACTCTATAGTAAAATAGACAAATGAATTGTTACACATTCAGACAAAACAGCAAAGACAATGAGCATGAACAAATTTCAGTTACATATAACAACATAATGTTGAGCAAAAACTATAAATATCACATTGTTCTATTTATGTACAATTCAGTAACAAACAAATGTTATGTGTGCTGTGAGGTGTCAGGAGAGTAACCACGCTTGGGAATTGACACAGGTGTGATCACTGTCTACTTAATGATCTGTTCACCTTCCTGTATGTAGATTACACTTCAGTAACCTTTATATTAAAAACAAAGTCAATATCTGCCTTGCTGTGTCCTCAGAGATGACTAAGGCCAGATAGGAATCATCCTCTGATCTAGGTTCTAATTTGGTATTTGGAGGTTTTCATTATATTAAATACTATTTTCTGGCACCCATGAAAGAAATGTAAATATAACACTGTAATTTGATCTCAGAATTGGGTGCAGATGGGTATCTCTAAGAAACCTATTGAAATAGTGTCTAAAATACATTAAGATGAAAAACTTAGAGGTTGCCTAGTGATGTAACATCCACTTAGATGTAATATAAACAATTTAGAAAATGTACAATGTAGAAGTCCAACCACCTTTCCTTTCTTCCTCAGAAATGTCATGAATTTTCTGGTTCACGAACTCAGCATAGGATGCCGCATACCACACCTGCAAGAACCAAGGATATCATCAAGAACTAAGGGATATTGCCAGATATGCTTTGCCTTCTTAAATTATTTCTCCTGTTTACACGAAATAATTTAGGCTTTCCCACAGCCCATTCAGAAAAAGAAATAGAAAATCCACACTGTGAGCCTCCCCTTTTAACATGCATCTGGCAGGTTTTCTGTCAGGAAGTCCTTTTGTCATGACATACTACCTGTTTCCTTTTTCCTTTTAAAAACATTTCTTTTTGGCAGGGCATGTGGTGCACACCTAAAATTCTAGCCCTCAGGAAGCTGAGGCAGGAGGACTGCCACAAATTTGAAGACAGCTTGGGCTACATAATGCATACAAAGCCAGCCTGAACTACATAGTGAGACAACTGCCTCAAAACAACAACTCTACAAGAATTATACTCAGTCTTTTCACAGGTTTTAATATCATTGTAATCATAGCAGCTATACTGGACAGCTCACTCTGGGATTACCAAGGGGACTATGTCAAATGCTTCCACACTCTCCTGGGACTCTTCTGCCCTCCCTCCTACCCCACTGGCTTCTGCTTTTCACTCTTCCTCTACCTAACTTCTAAATAGTGCCGTTCCTCAAAGCTCAGCCCAAGTCCTGGGCCTTTTAATTTTCCCTCTGGTGATCAAACCCATTCCAACCAATTCTTTGCTGATGCTTCCCACATGAATAACTCAGCCCCTGGTGGCCTGATATCTGGGTGTCTCCTCAACAGTTCACACTTAACTGGAATTCCTGATGCCTCCCTACTTACACTTCTCATCTCTGCCTGTCTCCTTCTCAGTGGTAGAGTATGCCTAGCATATATGAGGACCAGGGTTTGATCTCCAGAACCAAAAAACAAAACAAAGCACTTAACTTTTAAAGATACATGGTTCAATTGTGGAAAATGACACATATGAATTCAAACAAATGGGAAAGCATAGTATTCAAACTTGCAAAAACGGCTAACAGAGGCTAAGGGTATAGTTCAGTGGCAGAGTACTAGCCTAGTATATGTGAGAACCAGGGTTTGAGCCCCAGAATCACCACACACAAAAAAAGTAATTAAATTAAAAAGGATTAGGAATGGTCTAGCTCAACAGTAGATGCTTGCCTGGCTTGCACGAGTCTCTGGGTTCAAATCCAGTATTACAAAATAAAAATAAAAAATATCCTCAGAACAACATACACATGCAAAAAGATTATCAGTGACTTGGAACAATATCCCAGAGGCAATAGCAGAACACATACAGAAAACTGTGGTGGGGGCCGAGGTGTGGCTCAGGTCCAGTGTGTACAACACACTGGGTTCAAGCCCCGGCACCATGGGGAATGTAAGGCAGCAACACTCTTGCTGCCGCAGAAGAAAGTATACATAAAAGCACACATGTCTAGGATGAAGGTAAACAGTGAGTGGAGGAGAAAAGTCACAATGTACACAAAGCAGTTCAGAGCTACACTGATTTATTTTGCCCAAGTGTACTACTCCATGTATACACAAGGGTGGCATGATTTTTAAATTACTTATAAATCTAAACTAGCTCCCTCAGTAAGTATAAAATAACCATTTCTGTTGTTTTTTTTTGAAGTATTTTTTTCTTAATGGTGCAGGAAATAATGGTGTATTTTGAAGTGTTTGGTGTCCCAGAGTCAGCAATATAGGGTATTACCAAGTTCTAACATATCCACTTCTGTCTGTTTATAAATATTTCCTCAGACTAACTTTCAAGGGTTCGATTTACACAGCCAAGAAGTCTCCTGCTGTACACATCCAGAGATATGTGCAATTCTGTAATCAATGTCCCTATCTCATAAAACCCTCACATTGTACTGTACCCATTTATTTTTCCTAATTTAAATTAACAAAAATAATAATTCATAATTTGTTCAGGTTTTTTGTTTCTTTGTTTGCAGTGGTGGGGATCGAACCCAGACCCTCACTCATGTTAGGCAAGTGTCTATCAATGACTTACATTCCCAGCTCTTTGCAAATATTGAGCTATTTTAAAAAAACATTTCCTATTTGTTTTCTCTTCCAAATAAAATTAATTCCTGGTATTTGTTCACTTATGCTTTTGTAGTGAGGCTGAATGTATATAACTTACTCTTTTGCATTATAAATATTTTCTCCACCCTTTAGTGTTCTGTTACACTGAACTATTACATATTTATTTACTTGTTTATTCATTCCCGTCTGTCTTACTTTACCATTACAGTTCTATTTAAAGATTTAAAAGAGAAAACAGGCCTGGAGGTTTAGTTCATGGAACTGTATCTGCTTTAACATGCCTGAAGCCCTCGGCTCAATACAGCACAACAGAAAAAGAAAAAAATAATCTCCTTAGAGCTAAGAAATATTTATTTCAAGGGACTATTTGAATTAATTCTTCTTTATGGCAGAGTCCACTGTATATAATATCACATTTTCTTTATCCATTTAAGTGTTGATGGACTCATAAGCTGCTTCTAAGATTTAGTTACTATGAATTGTGTTGTTACATAAATAAAGAGCAAAATAAGAGACAATAATAGGAAATGGGGAGACAGATCTTTTGCAAATGGGAAGGAGACCAAAGAGCTGTAAGAAGGGGGTAGGGAGGGAGAAGGGAATGAAAGAGGAATTAAGATATATTATATACATGTACCAACTCCCTACAAGGAATGCAATCATTATGTACTGCAAACATGTACTAATAAAAAATATAAACTGGAAAGAAAAAAAGATTATTTGAGAAACTGAAAAGGTCTAAGGGGAAAGGAGAGAGAGAGGAAGGATGAGAAGGGAAGGTAGACAATCAAATCACAACTTCAATATATCACAATACACATACAGAAATATCAGTGAAGCCCACTGATTTATAAAGAGTATTTTTCTTGTACTTGAGAGGCTGAGGCAGGAAAATCGCTGTGAGTTCAAGGCCAGCCTAAACTACACAGCAAGTCTCCAAAAACAACAACAACAAAAAACCAAAAAAGTGTTCTTCTTATTAAAAATGTATTATGGAGACAGGAGTATAGCTCAGTGCTATAGCACTTGTTTAGTGTGTACAAGGCCCTAGGTTTGATCTTCAACACTGCAAAAAAAAAAGTACTGAGAAAGATGGTGTGAGATGTGAATCTCCTTTTACACATTTATTCAGTGTTTATACAGTGTCCAACTAACAGTTTTAAAGACAGAGATTTTGTAGCTTTTGAACAAAATTCAGGAGTTTGGCCTTCTCTCAAAAGGAAGTATCAATTTGTAATTTATCATACTAAGGAAGCATACAATTCAGCATTCATGTACTGAGAAAATTATTTCTGCCTATATTTTATTTATATTAGGAAGCTAAAGAGTATTTTGACCATGTTTCTAATACACATAAGCTTTTTAAAGGGAGGGGGTGTTCTTGGGCTGGGGATATAGCTCAGTGATAGAGCACTTGGCTAACATGTACAAGGCCCTGAGTTCAAGACCCAACCCTGCAAAAACAGGCAGGAGGCTTCACTTACAGATTTTATTTTAATGTCAGGAAAAGCTAATACCTAGAGAAATTCTAACAATTACCTCAAAAATATATTTCTGCAATCCAAAGTCAGTATGTAAATTTAATTGAATAAAATGAAATATTCAGATAAAGAAAAGGAATCTTGCCCATATAGGTGAATTCCATTTCTCAAAATCAGTTTCACAACTAAATTCTGCTTCACTATACACAAGTTATATTAAGTGACACAATCCATAACCTCCCCATCATAAATATCGATCTGTTCCTAAAACCAATTACTTCCTTATAGCTGGACCTAATGCCCTCCTGAAGATCCAGTTTTTGTTTGTTTGCTTTGCTGGTTTTGGGGTTTCTTGTTTTGTTTTCTTTTGTATTACTGAGGAATGAACCCAAGGAGAGCTAAACTACATCCCCACAAAACAGAAACATTTTAACTTTGAGACAGCATCTCAGTTTTGTTTTGTTGTTTTTTTGAGATAGGGTTTCACTATATAGTTCAGACTAGCCTTGCAACCCAGGTTGGTCTCGAACTTGCAGCAATCCTCCTTCTTCAGCCTCCAGAGTGCTGGGATTATAAGTATGTACCACCATACCCAGCTTTGAAGGGTCAGGTTTGAGGCCAGCCTAGTTCTCCTGCCTAAGCATCCAAGTAACTGGAATTACAGGCATGGGACACCACACCTAGCTTTTGTAGAAGCCCCTGATAAACACAAAAATCATCTCCTCTTCATTCTGTTTTTATTTACAGGATTTTTTTTCCTGGTACTGAGGATTAAACCAGGGCCTTTACACTGAACTTCACTTCCAGCCCCTTTTTATTTTGAGACAGCTTTACCACATCACTATGTTGCTCAGGCTGAGCTTGGACTTGTGATCCTCTTGCTTCAGCTTCCCAGGTAGCCAGGTTTATAGGTGTGCACCACCATGCCTGGTTTTTTGCACAGGCCCTTGATTCTACTTTATTTAAGGATTATTTTTATGTACAAAACAGCACAGTCAGCTGTCTGTACCACAGGTTCCACCAACCACAGATTAAAAATATTTGGGAGAAAAAACCGGGTCAGTATGGAATGTTTTCCTTGTCATTATTCCCTCAACAATCCAGTTTACATTGTATTAAATATTATAAATTATCTGGAGATGAGTCTAACTGAATGTGAGGAATAGATAGGTTCTAAGCCAATTCTATGCCGTTTTAAATATGGGCTAGGAGCTCCAGGAATCTTGTTATCTACAGAGCATCCTTAAAGGAAAAGCCATAACTACTCACTAAGTACTACTACTCACTCATAACTATTCACTAAGTCAGTGAATTACCAAGAAAGGAACATTCTTGTAAGACTGACTTGAAGAAAAGCCCTAAACAAGATGGCACCCAGAATGCAGCACTATACCTTCAGCTCCTGCTTGGGTTCCACGTTCTTTATGGTTGTGTAATACACATGGTGGCCGTACTGATAAGCCACCAGGTTCTGCTCCAGGTGGTTCTGGGCTGGACGCACGAACATCATCCAGTTACAGAGGCTCTCGTCAGACAACTCAAACCACAGGTCCTCGTGCAAATCCCTGTCTTTTCTGTCCCCTTTATCAAGAGACACCTGCAGCCGAAGAGAAGGTAAAGAGCCACACCAAGGCACAAAAACAAAACAACCCCAAACCCTTCACTAGGATATGCATTCATATAGGAAATAGTGCTCCCTAAATTAACCATATATCTTGACCCTTCCCTTTTTATCTAGAAAGATACTAGAATTGAAACTTGTCAAACCTAAAGTTTACTTCCTCCAGCCTCACCTAGAGGGAAATTATCTGGAAAAACTTGTAAAGTAGAAAATCAACTACATGGCTCTAATTAACATTTCACAAAAGTAACACAAGAAAAAAATGCTATAAATAAGCCAAGAAAATGCAAGCATAATGCTCTCCAGTTCATTACAATTTGCCTCCTTTGGAGATTCAAGTGTATTCATTTATATAATGCTGCATAAAGATATGTATTTCTCTTTACAGAGTAATATTCTTGCTTGGAGAGCTTGCATATTCACCAAAGAAAACCTCCCCATGATAGCTGCTAATTATCAAAAAAATACATCCTAGCTATTTATCCCCTCCCAGTGCCCTTTCTTAGCTCTCCAGGGTGGCTACTCAGAAAACAGAGAACAAAGATAGAAGCCAAAGCACCAACTGTGAAGAATGGAAAACAAAATAAAGCTACTTCAGCATTCAGTGAACTATTCTGTCATTTTAAAAAAATCCCCAGCACTCAGAAGGCTGTGGCAGGAGGATTGCTGCAAGTTTGAGACCAGCCTGGGCTACCTAGTGAGTTCCAGGGCAGACTGAACTACACAGTGAAACCCTATCTCAAAAAAAAAAAAAAAAAAAAAAAAAAAAAAAAAATCCAAAAAAAAAAAAAAAAAAAAAAAAAAAAAAAAAAATCAACAGTAAACAGCCATTTCAAAATTGAAAAGTGGTTTTCTTACAAAGATTAGTGGCACACAGTAGATATATACATCCATGTAATTCTCTTTATAGTCCAGACAAATTAATTTTAAACAAAGAAAAATAAGTAAGATAAAGATTGCCAATGCCTCTGTTATGTACTGAATTTTATGTTTCCCTCACCCCCAAATTCATATGGGAGCCCTATAACCCCGGTACCTCACGACAGACTGTGTTTGGAAACAGGGCCTTTAATGAGATCTTTAAGTTAACATCAGATCATTGGAGTGGGTCCTAATCCACGAGTAGTCCAAATAAGGAGAAGAGATCAGAATGGATATGGGAATGTACAGAGGAAATACCTTGTCTGCACACCACCATCTGCAATCCTGGGAAAGAGGCCACAGGAGAAACCACCCTGCCCATGCCTTCATCTTGAGCTTCAGCCTCCGAACTTCAGCTGGACCCTTCCAGTCTAGCATTTGATTATGGCAGCTCAATTGAGCAAACTACCTAACCCTAAGAACTACACTATTCGAATTATTCACAAAATGCCTTAAGGGGTTGAGATTACAATCTCCATTCTTTTGGGAGGAGAGAAAAAGGTTCTATTTGAAATGAATTAAGCACAAAAAGAAAAATACTAGTTGGAAACTATTATGAAATGAAAACAAGAGGCTAAGTTGAAAAATGAGTGCCCCTGGAAAAAAAACTGTTAAAGAACAAGAGTGGAGTGGGAGAAAGTGGAAATTACCTTCAGATGAATATAACAGTCTTTCAGCTCAGACCCCCTGACGAGTGGTCCCTCCACAGGGCCAAACTGGGTGCGCTTGGGAATGCGCCTCTTGGAGAACACCCCGCCAAGGAATCTGTCTATGTAGAGGACCAGGGGCAGACTGGCACGGGCCCGAGTGAGCACAGGCCGATTGGGGATTGGATGCAAGGGCCCGTGCTTTGGGCACACTGAAGAATGCGCATTATTACACTCCTCACACCCTGCAAAACAAAGAAAACCTTGAAGAAAAGTACAATTCCTTGACAAGATTTGCTCTCGGGTAAAAAGTTCTGACCTGAGAAATTCTCAAAACTAAGTTTCCAGGCCAGAATTCAATTACATTTCACATGAGCACTACCTATTCCATTGCAACACATTAGCTTTCATAGACCAATCATAAAAGTGCTGTAATTTTCCTCCAAAAGCAGGCAGAAGTTGTTTATGCCTACCAAAAATAATGTGCAGGCTGTGACTTTTCTCTCTGATGGATAGTAATTCAAGTAGTGGCTGCTAAACTTACAAATCAATTATGACACTTGGGAAAAGAAAAAAAGAGCTTCTTCAGCTAGATATTGCAAAATCTAATGAAACAAAATTATTTCAATGAAGCTGTTAGGAGAAAAAAGAAAACCCTGACAACACTAATCAATTTCCTCAAAGGGAGTTAGCAGGTCTCATTAGAGGGCGTTATCTGATTCAAGCAGGGAAAGTACTATACAGTTTGAAGTTTTGATGCAGACTGTCTGATCATGCTAAAATGAGCAAATTTAGCATCCCCTCCATCATTCACTTGGACCACACAACTGGCCCCTCTTTGCCAGGACATGCATTTTTAGGTCACTCTAGGAGAACTCAACTTGCACCAAGCCTGCCACTTTTGTTCCCTTTTCCAGTAGCATCAACTGTAAATTAGCTGCCAGAAAGAGAAATGCAAACCACAAAATAAGGCAAGTGATGGACCAGAGACTTCATACTCATCAGGTTTTACCCCCTTTGGCTATGTATTGACATAGTTTAGGTACAGTATTTTCAATTTCTACAAGTCTCAGAGAGTTGACTGTTTTTGTATGTTTGTTTTGTTTTGAGGCAAAGTCTCACTTTGTAGTTCAGTCTGGCCTGGAACTCACTATGTACCCCAGGCTGGCCTCAAACTTGCAGTGATCCTCCTGCCTTCTGCCTGCTGGGATTACAGACATACACCACCATATCCAGCACTGTATTAATATTTATGAAATAAAGTGGCTTTGGAGTTGACTTGAAAACTTCAGACTTCCAGGGAAAACTACAAGAGGAAGTTCTCTGTTGGATGAGGATTAGATTTGGGGCAGAACACTGGGCCCCATGCAGGGAGGTTTTGGAAGCACCATGTGGGAGGCCCAGGAGAAACAGCATGAGGCTGAAAAGCTCTGGCTGACCTCAATCACTCAAAGGACTGAAGTAAGGACTTTGTCACAGAAGCATGAAGATCCACAGAAAGAATAATGATCTGGTAGGCAAAAGCTGAACTTTAAGCAGGCAAGACCAAGAGGCAGTGGGTATTGTGGCTGACCAAGGCCACAGCTGTGCAGCCACACATCCTGAGCTGGAATTCAGGCTCTCAGCATACTTGTATGACCTTGGGAAAGTGTTCCACCTGCTAGATCATTAGAAGACATCGAACACATCAGTAAGTGTGGTGCACTAAGCTGGGGACATGATATGCATTTTCAAAGGTTTTATGACAAATAAAGCAGCAAAGCAAACTTGTTAGAGCTGAAATGGCTGAACAGGCCATGCCTGGGCCAACATGCTTTAGCAGCCTGGTGAAAGAAAGACCCAGGCTCAGATAAATGATCACCTTTCAGCCCCAAGCAGGCAGCCTAAGGTTCTTCTGAGCTTCAGTTTTCTCATTAGTAAAAACCAGAAAACAAACACGAGTGTCAGATTCTCCCTCCCAGGGTGGTGGGGAAGATCAAGTGGGATGACAGATGCAGAGCACGTGGCACAATGTGTGGGAAGCGGGAGGACTCAGTTCATGTGACACATATTCACCAGAAAGAGCCCGGCATCCACACTTACACAAGTCATGGGGGTCAAAGGGCCGGGGTGGGTCTGGCTCCCAATCATCCAGGTCTGTGTCTTCACCATCTTCTTCCTCTTCTTCTTCAGTATCCTCCTCCTCCTCCTCTTCCTCTTCCTCTTCCTCTTCCTCTTTTGCCTCCAGTCTGGCTATAGGGTTCTGCAGAGTTGCCATAGGGTCGGAACCATCCATGCTCTCGATGGAAGGCAGCACCTGGTTATGCACAGGTAATGAGACCTGGGCAGCAGTTTAGGCATAAAGTGAGCAGACACCTGCTTTTAGTTAGCCAGAATGCAGGTATATGCAGTGAGGACAAGGCTGTGCTGGACTGTACTCTTCATGCCACCTCCCTGCAAGGCCCTGGGAAAATGGTTTCCATGTAGTTGATAAAGAAGAGTCTGCCTTCATTTTGGATGTCTGATTCTCACAGTTTTTAAACTCCTCCCTCTCTACTTCCCATGCCCTTTATCTAAGCAGACTAAAAAGAAAGCCTACATCTCTCTCTTTTGAGTCTGGCAGGAGGTTCAAACCCCACAAAGCCCTTATCTTGAGCGTCTGACCCCACTCTTTCACCCCCTGAAGCCAAGCCCCTCTCCTTGCTCCCACAAGCCACTTCACAGCTGCGCAGAGGCCTGCCCTGGCCTTTTGGCTAAGATCAAGTGTGGAGAGTCCTGCCCTGCTTCCCTGGAGACTTAAGGGTACACAGTCAGCAACTATTCACTGTCTCCTGGGGTAGCTGTTGGATCCTAAGCCTTCAGATCTGAACAAAATCTGGAGTAGAGATCCCTCCCAGCCCTTTTAGGGTGGCCTCCACACAGTGGAGGGAATAATTTGGCTTCTCTTCAATAACTTTACTTTTTTTTTTAATTTTAAGAGACAGGGTCTCCCCGGGGATGTAGCTCAGCAGTGCAGCACCTGCCTGGCCTCACTGCATTGCCCAGGCTAGCATGAAAATCCTGAATTGAAGTGATCCTCATGCCTCAGCCTTTCCGGTAGCTGGGACTACAGGCACATGCCATCACATCTAGCCTATTTCACCTTTTTTCTATGCTGAAGTTTTCAGGAAAGAAGAAAAAGTCTCTGTTGATTTGCTCATGCTAAAGTCAACCTCATGCAAATAAAATAAGATTTGGGTGACATACTGGTTAATGTAATCTTACAAATATGTGGACAGAAAATAAATGGTACCTTACAAAAGTTCTCCTGCCTCTAATATGAGTGTTCTGGGATATATGCTACTCTAGATTCCTCTTTTCTCTCCTGCCCAATCAGTCCACAGGTAGTCAAGCCATATACCCCTCTATTTAATAAATCAAGTAAAAGTTTAAACACTCCCATCCCCTTTATCTCCCCATAGGCTGCTTTCCTCTCCTAGGATGTTCTTCTCTCACCAATCTCCTAAATCCAATCACAATCTTATTTCCCAGTGGGCTGTGTCTGATGCTGCTGGGTCTCCCTACCCTCCTATGCTGTAAGCTCCCACAGCATTTTGAACCACAGAACCTGGTTTTCAACAGCTCTCAGCCTCCTTTCCTCACCAGGCATCCTGAAGCCTCTGGAACAATCTTGTTGCAGCTTCGGTGGGCCCACACCCCTGTACATGTCTTCCATGCAGTGGCTGAGGCCTGTGAATTTCCTCTGGAGTTAGAAGGCAAAACCTTCTGCCACATGAATCCAACACTCAAGGAATTCATTCAATTCAATCGTTCTCATATGGATGAACTTCCATCTCTCTGATTCTCGTCTTCCTTTATTCCTCAGTGGATTCACATTTTTATGAATACAGCATCAGAGTACATTAGCACCTATAACAGCCACCTTTCTACTATGACCATGACTTGGGACTCACAGATAACTAAATTCACCAAGACCTTTTTTCCCCTCGAAGAGAACTATTAAACTATCTTCCCTTTCCTCAGGTCTTAAATAGTATATTTTTACTTAAATGGAGAATTTTTGCATTTTTTTCAATAAATTTCATTTGATTACTTTTATCTGATTACTTTTATCTGCCAAGATCTTTGACAATCTCGAATCTTACGTTGCACCTTGGCCACCACCCCTCACAGCTCTGTACCCATCACCGAACACTGTCCACTCTGTCCATGAGGATGTTTCCACCTGAGTTCTTCTTGTCTCTCCACCTGTACTTAATGAGCAGGCCAGGGGCACTGAAGTCAGACAGATTTAAGGTGAACTCCTGGTTATAAAAAAAAATCTCTGATCTTCAGTTTCTTTATCTGTAAAATGGAATCACGATTCCATACTGTACTGATTATTGTGGGATTAAAAGAAACAAGATGCTCACAATGCCAAGAGTAAAATGTGTGACATTTAATAAGTGTTCAATATTAATAATAGACTATTACTACTATCATACATTCTCTCAGAACCAAGGTGACATTATATACTTCCTCTGCAACATCAAAAGACAAGACTGCTATGCACGTAGTAGCTATTCATCAAAGACTAGTTTGTTGAAATACTCTTGACCCTTCGGGAAATAACATCAATCCCTTCAGGCATCTAGAAGGATCCACATCAAAAGGGATTCTTTGCTGCTGTTCACAGAAACATCTGTTTTCTGTTGTGCATCTAAATCTAAGAACTTCTTAACCTCTAAAAAGAAATAATCTTGAGTGTGCTCAGAGAGCCTGACCTGTTGAAGCAGTGTACAGCCACGACCCAACATTTAAAATGCTAAGGCTGCAAAAGACGCATAAAATCAGCTACCTCAAGTAGCAGGCACATGGGTTATTTTTATTATTTTAAATTAAGAGATAGCACCTTATTACGTCACACAGGCTGGCCTTGATCTCCTAGCTCACCACAATCAGCTTGCATACACATGTTGTACCATACAGTCATTTAGCCAGACGCCCAGACTTCTGCATGGCATTTTACCTCTGGAACTCAGAGCCTTTGGGAAATTTTGAATGGGTGTATAAAATTCTGGGAGATGCTGTGTGTTATCTTCAATAAAAACAGAATACAACGCCAGCAAAGGTAAGAGCCCCACAAGGAAAGGGTCAGGGGACTTCTGGCAATACAATGACTCTGGCCTCCTCACTATGTCCGGGGAAGAAGCAACTTCTTTCCCACTCAGCATCTTAGTACAGGGTTACTACACTCACTTTTATTCAGAGCCTCTTAAATTTTATGCCACAGTTAGGGATGAATGTTATCACACTGAATAAACCAAAGTATACATGGCACCTCTGCAGACTCCTCATAAATTCTTTATCTCTCTGTAGAGTCAACCTGAAAGAAGTTATTCTAGTGGAGTTATTCTAGTGGAGCTAATATTCTAGTGGAGTTAATAACTCTATGGAGTTATTCTAGTGAAGCTGTGATGATGTATTTTTCCCCAACAGATGCTCTTAGAAGGAATCTGGTCCAGCAAGGTTGGTGCTGGCTTCTTGCCACTGCTGAGAAAGCTCACATCAAAACAACACCAACAACCTTCACCTCCCCCATTCTGGAACACTCCTACAAGACTGGCTAAGAAAAGACTTGAATGCTTCCACCTTATTTCTAAGAACTGATCCTGAAGCAGAGTTGAACATATATCAGAATTATGAAAACCGTTAAAAAGGAAGAAAAAGGGGGTAGTATGGTCACTTCCTTGAGAACTATACATTTTTAGAAAGCACAGACCTGACCACACATAGATAGTAGCATGCTTTGCAAATCTGTTACCTAATTCATATTCAACTGACATTTACTGAGTGCTATTTGAATTCCTTTGAGGCCGGGTATTACCACACATCTTCTTCTTTTTCTTCTTCTTCTTTTTTTTTTGGTGGGGGTGTCCCTGTTCTTATGAGGCAGGAGGTAGGTAGGGGAACCACTAAGCTAAAGCGCTAGCGCTCCACACAGCTTCTAAGTGGAAAGATGAAATTAAAATTTGCCTCTGCCCTGCTTTTTCCACTATATCACAATGGCCCCTACAGAACTTGGTCTATTCAAGGAGGGCAGCCATAGAAGTAAACATCCCACACTCTGAGTACCAAGCCAAACAAGCTAATACTTACAAGCTCCTTAGGGGTAACCACGCAGTAGGTTGGTAAGTAATGTGTGACTATTTTACTTGGAGCCAAAGAATAATAAACTAAATTTTAGCCCATACATTTTGTCATATATAATTAAACATTGTAAAAGGAAAAAGAATTTTTGAAACTCTGGTCTTCTTCCTCCTTCCCACTTAATGTCACTCTGTAATTATTCCTGAACTATAAAATGCATTTCTGGACACAATTTATCTGAGGAGCAAATATGAAACGCCACCGGACAGCAGCAAACACAACAGAATGCTTCTTGATTCCTACTGAGACCAATTATCAGTGCAGCACATTTTCCTCTCAGTGTGTGGGGAATCACACATGTTCATTTTCAGAAACACAGAAGAGACTGCTTCTGCGTCTGGAGACACTGGAGTGTTTCTTAAGGACAAGGGAATGCAAACATTTAAAAGGCTTCAGATAGACTATGTCATCACTAAAAACAACTGAAAATAAAATCCTCTAAGGCAAAAAGGAAAAAAAAAAAATACAACCATCATCTATGCTAAACCCTCACCCAACTTTCTACCCAGATAAGTTATCCAGGTCACTGAATAAAGTGACAATTGCCAAGGTGTGACAGCCAGAAAGAAAAGCTGTGCTGGTTGAAAGGAAATTGCAATAAAGAAAGATATTGGGGCTTGAGGTATCATTCACTGCTAGAGCATGTGTTTAGCACACTGAAGGCCCTAGGTACAATCCTCATCACCAAAAGAAGAAAAAAATAAAAATAAAAGAAAGATACTAAGGCAGTGGTTATATTATCTTGTAATGTTAGGGTTCGCAGAGCTATATGAGCACAACTTTCCTATTGTACAAAACATGAAACAAGCACATTATTTCTGGAGATTGGGGATGAAAAGGTACAAATGGCAACAAGACCTTCAATTAAAACTATGTCTTAATTATTAAAACAACAAAATACCACATCACCTATCAGATTGGCAAAATTTGAGAAGAATGCAAATACCCAATGTGCCAAGAGTATATGGAAATGAGCTTCCTCATATATTGTTGGTGGGAATATAAAATTGTTCAGTATCCAAAAATGCAATTTAGAAAGTCTTATCAAAATAGTTTCCCAATTTATAAGGACAAATTTCAAACATATATAAAGAAAATAGTGTAATAAACCTCATGTACTTACCATTCAGCTTCAACAATTATCATGTAATCTTACTTCAACTAATCTCCCACTCACTCTCTTCCTCACTAAATTATTTTAAAGCAAAACCTTGATGCTATGCATTTTCATTTATAAACAGTACAATTTGTATCCTAAAATGAATTTTATATTTTATTAATATTACATTTAAAAGTAATCCATTCCTTATTGTTACCAAATATCAAGATAGTGTTACATTTTCCCCAACTGTTTCACAATTTTTTTTCCTTTGGTTTGTTCAAATTAGGATCCAAACACGTATTGCATCACATCACACATACCTCATCTGACTGATACATGAAGAATCATGATTATTTTACCATTGTCTCTTTAAGGCCACACTGCAGCTGAGTGAAGAGTCTAGCAGCACATTAACTTCCCACCTTGGAAACTATGCACACGAGCTACGCACACATCACTAGATGATCTAACCACTTGTGCTGTCTTAACACCATTTCCTCCCCCTCCCAATATAAAGTCAAAAGTCCCTTTCAAGTACAAATATATATTTTATTCTGATCCCCTTGATCAGTAACCTTAGTTAGTCTATACACGTTTAATTTTAGTCGGAAGGACTATCTCTACCAATGTCAAGGGCACTGGACATCACCAATAAAACATTACTGGATCAGGGATTTGGCTCAATGGTTCTGCCCCCTGCCTCGCAAGCACAAGAGCCCAAGTTTGATCCCTGGTACCAAAAAAAAAAAAAAAGAATTGTGGATGTGCCAATTATCCTAATTTGATCATCATACACGACATTTTTAGAATGAAATATCACATTATCCCCATAAATATGTTCAATTACTATGTGTCAACAAAAAATTTAAAAATATACTCAAAAAGAAAAAAAAAAGCTTAAGATATTGGCCCATAGGGAAGAGGATGGGAGGAGGGAAAGGGATAAAAGGAAATAAACAAGGCATTTTTATCACCATGTGCTACACACACACACACACACACACACACACACAACTCAGACAATTTGTCCTAGTGCTTCCCATAGGGTAGATTTTGCTGACTGCATTCTTGTATGCCTTTTAATTTGTTCCATTTGTCTACTATGCTTCCTAGAAACTGGCAGCTGAATCCAGAGATGCAATCAGATTCAGGTTTGATTTTGGGGGGATGAATACCTTACATATGGTATGAGTCAAGGAAGTATACAATACCAGAAAACATGTAATGAATGGTTATCTTTCCCTTAGAGATCCTGCCTAGATGCACATTTCATTAGGAGAGGCAAACAGTGTTACATTTGTAACTGGAATGTCTCTGAAAACAAATGTGCTTCCTCCAGCAATTGCTTACTGGGGACCTCCAGGGAGAAAGGATGGACTCTCCCTTCATTTACCAGTTTTCAGAATAATGTGGTGGCCCCTAGCATTCTCAAAAGTGACCTTTAAGTCACTTCTTTCAATATCAGTATTAAATTACTGACCTGAAATATATTAATAATTACTTAAGTCTACCATAATACTATCCTTTTTGATCCTGTTGTCCCATTTTGGCCCCTTCAAGTTACATCTTGAGTTCCATCCACAGGATACCAGAAGCTTTTAACAGCCCCTGGCATTGGGAGAAGAAAAGGTGATCCATGTTCATCTTGGATGGTCCCTGCCCCAGGACTGGAATCAGCCATTTCTCCAAGGAGCCCTGATGTGATGCCCCAGGTTGAAGAAGTCTATTTAGTGATCATACTGTGGGGTACTAGGGGTGCTCAGTGTTACTGGACTGATGACCTTGTCTACACCTCCTCAGGGGACAGAACTAGAAACCTGTTTCGTTGTTATCATCTTCACAGTGCTGAGGATGGAACCCAGGGCCTCCCACACCCTAGGCAAGTGCTCTACCACTGAAATCACATCCCAGGCCCTGAAAACATGTTCTTTAAGATAAAATGTATGAGTTTATACTGACATTCATTCCAACTCAAATTCAGCGCTCAGGGGTTTATCTAATTTGTTTGATTTTTATACCTGCATCTTTTTTCATTTTTACACAAAAACTTGGTTCTTAATTTCAAATGTCACTAACTTTTGCTGCTAGCACATCTTTGGAGAATTAATCCTAAGGAAATAATCTGGTGTGATAACCATGACACTGTTCTTTATAATAATAAAAAGAAGGAACCTATGTGTAAAACAATAGATGGAGAATATAAATAACAGCACATCCTACAGTAGATATACATATATAATAATAACCTATTGCTGGGCCAGGGATATAGCTCAGTGGCACAGCACCTGCCTGGTAAGCACAAGGTCCTGAGTTTGATCCCCCGTGCCAGGAAAAATAAAAATCTATTGCTTACTTGATAGAATCAATAAATATTCACAGAAATGGACTTTCTTCCTATGTGTGTGTGGTTTTGTTTCGTTTTGTCAAACTTATTGCCAAAACTTGTTAAAAGAAAGTTAACAACTCTCATTTGTGTTCATAGACACCACAATACTATAGTTCACTGCTGGTCAGGAGTAAGTTCAACCTTAATTTAAATAACAAAGCCTCCTTAGAATACACCCTATTATTACATATATGTCCTAATAAAAATAAAAAATAAGGAACAGATAGTACTTCCCAATTTAATAATTGTTCATAGCACTCAGCTATGCACATTAATAAAAGTTGGACCACTGGATATGAAAACAGACCTATTTGAATTCACATTCCCTTTAGATAAGACAGATGTCAAGTTCTTCACCTTCTTTATCCCTTTCATATCCTTGTGAAAAACAAGAAGTCCCACAAAGTCAAATAGTATATTTTAGAAATATGGGTAGAAGAAAGTCATGTTGTAAAGGACAAATACCAGTTTTTCAGAAGCCAGAATGAAGAAGGTTGCCACCAGATTTACATGAAATTTAAGCAGCATTTTTTACCATATAAAAATAGAACTAGTATAAAAACATTTCCAAATATAAAAAAGACAAAAACTCATGATCATTCTTTGGAATCTAAATCAATATTCTGCTTATATGCTTGTTTTAGTTTGTTTGTTTGTTTTGTTTTTAAGACAGGGCCTATATTCCCCAAGCTAGTCTCAAACTGGTGGACTACTCAAGCAATCTTCTTCTCCAGTAGGATATGCTTATTTTTCAAACTTCCCCGAAAAGTCACTTTTTACTAGGCTATTCTAATATATACTGTGTAGAATGAATTAGTATTTATGTTATGTTTTGCTTTGTTTCTACTATCTCTAAAGGAGACAGAGTATGCTTTTCTTATAAACATCCAGAGATGGCACAGGATAGAGGGATACAGGGACATTTCAGGGAACTGTGGCAGTCACAGTATTATTCCCAAACAACAAAATGGTAAGAAGACAATTCATTACCTGTTGAGCTGTGGTATCCTGTTGGACATAAGCTACCTGGCCTGGGTCTGTAAACAGAGTCTAGAAAAAAAAAAAAAATCATTAAGGATCTTTAGACAGCTTGCCTACACAGGAAAAACTATTCTACTACTAAGCACCAACTTCCAACTCTTGGGAGAGTTATCCTTTTATGGCTAGTCATCTTTCATTAATAAAATAATAAAAAATGTAATCTTTACCTAAATCCTTTCATTCAGATAGCTCCATGAGATTGTATAAGTGAACCAACCCAAACAGCAAACATTATTTCACCATTTTACCCTTAAGCAAAACTTTTCATGACATTGAATTTCACAGCTAATTAAAAAGGCCTGTCATGAAACATAAAAGACATGAACAAGGGCATGCACTTGTAAGTCCACTCACAGGAATGGATCTGTGATTTAATGAAAATGAACAGAAATATGCAGACATACATTATAAACACAAAATTTATAACTCAAATACACACACACACACACACACACACACACACACACACACAATTTTTTACAAGAGAGAGAAGGAACATAAATTGAACTTAATAGCCTATAGGTTCTTTTTTGGATAAAGTCAGTAAAGTTATCATCATAAAATTATTGTTACAAATATATAAGTGGGACCATAATGCAGAAACTCTAACTATGGAAAATCTTCCAAACTATCATAGCCAAGATACTATGGCTAATGTATCCTATCCCCCCCCCAAAAAAAATTTATTTTCTCTAAAGCTTCTAAAGAACATTAATTTGTAGGCAGGCATGGTGGCGCACACCTGTAATCCCAGCACTCGGGAGGCTGAGGCAGGAGGATCACTGTGAGTGTGAGACCAGCCTGGGCTACATAGTGAGTTCCAGGTCAGTCTCAACTACATAGTGAGACCCGGTCTCAAAAAAAAAAAAAAGAAAAGAAAAGAAAGAAAAGAAAACAAGACAGCATGAACATTACAAAAATAATCTGAATATTTTCTTTCACTGAGTCACATTTGATTAAGCTATGCAGAATTAAAAGCATGGTTCTTGATTCTCAAAGGAAAACTAACAAATTGATAATCTAGTAATGGTCACTGTAGAGAAGAGATGATACAAAGCCAGCACTCTTAACTCCTTACTGCACTTAAATTAAACAGATGAACCATCCTGTGCTAGGCCAAGTTGGTTATAAGCTCTTTGAAGGCACAAATCTTATCTGAATGACTTCTGCATCACTAGCACCTTTCACAATGACTGATAGTAAACATAAGCAATCAGTGACTCAATTAATTAGCAAATTTAAAACAATCCTTCACATGCCTGTGCAGCTTCCACAGGATGGATGTACACCAGTGTGTGCTCTGGACCATCCACAGAAGTGTAGGAGGCACCATCTGCTGTATACACCACCTGCTGGGGGGGGCGGCCCTGGTCATCAGTGTAGACAATCTGAGCCACAGTTCCAGCATCCGGAACAAAGTGTACCTGGAACAAAAAGCAAACAAGTAAGTATATGGTATGAAAAACTCAATCTCACAAAGGTACATGGCCAACTGAGCACACTTCTTCTAAAACATCTAAAACATCCCCCTAAGGTAAGAACGGAGATTGATGTACTTCATCTACACCAAGTTAGAGACTAGGAGAGAGGATACAAGGACCTTGTCTCTGCTTTATGCTTTATGTCAGGCAACAGACTTACATACTTTTGCTTCAAATGCTGAAAGCAAAGAACTCTTTCGGGGAGATGGAGGGGTGGTGATTGATCCTGGAAAAGTTGTCACAATGCCACCAAAATACAAACTATTCTGTGATGTGAAAAAAGGTCAAGATTCAAAAACAATTGCTCTCAGCTTATCATAAAAATTCAATTTTATAACAAACTGTGCCTTTCAGCAGACATTAAAATAAGGTCGCTTTCTTTTCTACCAGTTCTTTCCTACTCTAAGGACATAGTGGAAGCATAGCAGGAAACAACTGCTGAGTCGATGACTATAACAAAATCTTCTCTGCCAATAAAGTACTTGTAAGGGGCTTTGCACTACTGAGGTTCAGTTGTCACTGGAGTAAATCATTTTCAATTGTCACTTGGGTAAATAATTTTCTATCACCTTGGATTTAAAAAACTCAAAGCAGGGGGGCTGGGGATTTAGCTGAGTGGTACTGTGCCTGCCTTGTAAGCACAAGGTCCTGAGTTTGATCCCAGCTACAAAAAAACAACCTAAAAGCAGAAGCTGAGTTTTGTAAAATCTGCAGCAGATGACTGAAATCTATGCATTTGAAAGAGAGACAATTCATGTACTGATGTGAAAGGCGCTCTTAACTTGGCATCCTTATTCTTCTGACTTGGTGCCAAATCTAACTTTTTATGTAAATTTTCTCAGGGGGGAATAATAGACTCCAAAAATGATAAAAACTAACAATCCCCACAAAGAGACCTATAGGCAAAAGTATAATCGATGACAGAAAAGTTCCAGTTCTTTACTGACTGCTCTGTATATATTGATTCACCATGAAGATAAAGTTTATACACTGGAGAAGTTAGGATCCTAATATATTGGCACAGTTTCACTACTGTAACGTAATTTTCTAACTTTATATATATAATGTTGTGAGTTTAGATTTATTCACTAACATTAAAGACTAGTTTCAGGGCTTAGAAATAGAAAAACCATTTCTTCAAAAGATGAGCCATCGAAACCTTTTCATTTGTTTTCCTCGCTCCTCAAATTTCCTGGTCAGGAACAGGGATTATGGGGGAAAGGGGTACAGTGGGAGTTCCTGAGCTCTGCTCTCTGCTGCCTGACTACCACAAACAGGGACCCTGGGCACAGGGTCACAACCAGATTTTCTTGCGTTCTGCTATATGATTAATAAAATATACCAAAATACATAAATGCCTTAGCTTTCAAAATGGTTGCCGTGAGAAACAGAGCATGGTTCTCAATTATTCTGCTGAAAATATCTCTGTAACTGCTTTTAAAAAAAACTTTACAGACTGAGACTTTTAAATTATAACAGAGGATCCATTTGGCTTAGTGCAATGTTTATTATATTGCTTAAATTAAATAAGATTTGCTTATTTAAGTATTTTAATGTTTCTAATTTTGAAGAAAGGATTTTGGTTATGTAATTTAATTAAAAATTGACTAAAAACCTCACATTTATCCTAATGTAAAAAGTTAAGTATAATGCTTTGGCCACATGGATCCATATGACTGCTGACCCATCTTCAAATCTGCACTAAAAATGCAGAGATTTGTCTCTGGTAAGAAGCATCAAAAGAACATGCAGACAAGTGGGCATAGCAATGGACCCATGTAGTCCCACCAATGTGGGAGGCTGATGCAGGAGGAATACAAGTTTGAGCCCAGACTGGACAACTCAGTGACTTAGTAAGACCATGTCTCAAAATAAAAAGGAAAAGAAAAAAAGTAAAAAACCCTAAAAACACATGCAGTTGGTTCTGATAGCAATTCAAAGGCAGAGATCAATGACAGTAGCATGTGAGTGAGTGCCTAACCATCCCAACCGGTGACTTATAATGAAACAACTTGCATTCAAAACTTAAAAAGAAAATAGGGCTGGGGATTTAGCTCAGCGGTTTGGTGGCCTGCCTTGCAAGCGCAAGGACCCGAGTTCAATCCCTGGTACCAAAAAAAAAACTTAAAAAGAAAAGGCCATTCACTTCATAAACATGCCATACAGTTCATTATAAGAAATAAAAGCCTATACTGGATAACAAAAGAAACAACAGTTTGAGGGTTTTGACACTAATGTCGTAAGTAAATCAGTGCAGTGAAATGGATTCTGACAGTAAGTTGCAGAGAAGGCAGCCAAGCCTAGAGATGGATGAGCTCTTCCAACTCTCAGCGAGCCATCTCAATGGAATATTCACTTGCTGAGCCACTCCCCACTTCTTACATATAGGATTCACATTGGCTCCCTCCCAACAACTCACTACTATAGCTGTTATTTCTTTACCTGTCAGCAAACTGTACCCAACTAAAACCCTGCCATCAACAGCCAGCTAGAAAAGAGCACCCTTCACCTGTGTGGTGTTTTGCTCATGCTCTGCAGATGGCGGCCACACGTGTGAGCTTTCATCTTTGGAATCCATCTTTTCCTGCTGGACAGCTCCACATCCAGGCCACCTACAGCAGCACAGGGCAGGGGACAGTCATCTGTCCAGCACACGCGTGTGCATGAAGGACAGAAGGGTCTGTCTGCAGCATGCCTGAGGAGACAGAAGAGGATCCAAGATTTTAAGTAGGTGAATACATTTTAATAAATTACCATCTCAACTACAAAGAAAAAAAAAGCTCTGTTAAAAAGCAACACACCTGGGCAGAAAGGCAAAAATGAAAAAAATCATTTATAATAACAATACAATGTATCGAATGTTCCAGGCATTCAGTGTGGTTGTGTAAGCACACCTATATACATTGTCTATACACACACACACACACACACACACACACACACACACACACACACACACACACACACACACACATTACATAAAGGTAATCCTAGTCCTCTTGAGAGGAGCCAGTTCCTAAATGCAGGCAAATGACAGGGTCACATCCAAATCTGACTGCTGCATCACCCAAGCTCTTTCTTGGTAGATGCTGACAGCCTACACCACTGCTATTCCAAATGAACAATGGAATAAAGAAAATCACAAAATAAGGGGGGAAATGGAAGGTGAAGGGACAGGGATTCCTAGGGCCACAATTTGGTGAATACAAATAGAAGCTGCTCCCATCTGGTCAAACAGGACTGAGTGACCAAATCAGAAGCTTTACTGAACATCAACATGTGAAAAATCTCTATCTCAAAACCTCGTTCCTTTTCAGAACAGTCTTTTTTAAGGTAAAATCCTCCCTTTAGATAATGATGATACTACGCTGACATTTTAAACATCATGAGAGACTGGCTACATTAACAGGGCAACAGCCATGCCTGATGTACTTCCTCCCAACCTCCCACTAAAGTGACACACAAACAGGAAAAGGTAAAATGGTCAGAACACCCATAAGTCAGACAAGAAAGACCACTGCCAACATCTGGCCAGAATGTTCTTCATTTTCATGGAAATATGCTCAGAAGCACATGCTTAGAGCACACATGCTCTAATCTCTGAGCTAGAACAAAGCCCAAAGAAAGAGACAGACACCGGAACAGCTTCTTCCTCCACTGATCCTGGAATGCAGGCCCTGCCATGCCCGTACTGGTCGGGGGCCCTTGGCATGCAGGCCTGCCATCCTTGCCCCACTCCTTAGCACCCATTCTACACTCACTCACCCGGCACCCACCTGACTCTTCCTGCCCTCATTGGAGAGCACTTACAGTACTTCCAAGTTCACCAACAGCTAAGTGTATAAACAAAGGGACATAAGGGAATACTCTAGGAAAATGGGAATATTCTGTGTCTTGAATCTGGCTTGGAGTGGTGGTTACAGGAAGAATATGTGTGTCAAAAGTCATTGACCTAATCAAAATATGTGAATTGCATTATGCATAAATTACAACTTAATAAGGTTGACTTAGAAAAATTCATCACTCATACAATGATAATATTTTTAAAATGTATAAAAAGATATTCAGCATGTATATAGTATATAAATTATACCTCAATCAAGTTATTTAAAAAATAAATATTTCAAAACCTAGGAATAGCTGGGCATTGTGGCCCAGGCTGGACTTCAACTTTGCCTCCCAAGTGCTGGGATTACAGGTGTGCACTACCAGGCCCAGCTTCTTTTTTTCTACCATGAAACATTTAAGTGTAAATTGCAGACATAAGGACAATTACCCCTAAAATTTTAAGTGCCTAATTCCTAAAAACAAGACCATTTTCTTACAGCCACAGTAATTTACCAAAGTCAGAAAGACAACATTGAAACAGCAATATTTTCCAATTTATAGACCTTATTCAAATTTTGTCAATGGCCTAAGTAAAGTTCTTTATAGCCAAAGAAACATTTTTTCCCTTCCCCTACCAGATCAATCTTGTACTGTACATAGTGTGTTCAAGTGTCACGTCCTTCAATCCCCTCAATCCAAAGTCAGTCTCCTGCTCTGTTTCTGTCTCCTATAACCCTGACATTTTTTAAATATGCAGGTCATTTATTGTTCAGAATGTTCCTCAATTTCAGTATGTCTGATATCTCTTTATAGTTGGATCCAGGACAAGAATTTTCAGCAGGAATACCACAGAAGAGTCAGTGTCCTCTTACAAAGAAATTAGAGATTGTTTTTCCCCTTCTCTGTCCTCTCATTGCCCAAGACTCAAATGCACTGTGCTAGGCACTGGGACACTGTGGAGACCAGTCCAGCATAGCCCAGACCCTCACTGAACACGCGCAGGCCACAAAGCCTCACTGTCTTTGTTTCCATTCTGAAGTAGGAATCTGTCTTGGGAACTGAGAATAAACCCATGGGATCTGAGCTATCTCCAGGCCAACACCAAGGCCCAAAAGGATTAGAGGACATCCAGCTGCTGTACCTGCTGCAGAACCAACTGCTTGCTGGGGTGGGTGAGGGGCAACTCCCACACATGATCACAGAAGTTTCCTGTGTTGATTACTGAGCAGAGTGTGAGAGTAAAGTGGGTTTCTTTTGTCCTACTCATGCAAGACGATGAAGACACGTTGCAGTAATTCAAATAGTATCTGTGCTGGTTGTAGCTCAATGGTAGGATACTAATCTTAGCATGAATGAGGCCCCAGGCTTCACCTCCAGCCCCAAAACAAAAGAAAAAGGAAAAAGGAAAGGAAGAAAGAAAGAAAGTCTAGAATCCAAAACTGTGATACAGGATACCCACTTAGTAGTTGCACTTTGTGGTTTTAGTTTGTTTTGGGGTTTGTTTTGCGGGGGGGAGGGGGATACTGGGCATCGAACTCTGAACTTTGCGCTTGTGAGGCAGGTGCTGGCGCCACTGAGCTAAATCCCCCGGCCCCCTGGTTTGTTTGTTTTTGGTGTGTGGTACTAGGGATTGAACCCCACCCCTGCCTTCTCACTGAGCTACATCCCCAACCGTTTTGTTTTGTTTTATTTTTTTATTTTGAGACAGGGTCTCACTAAGTTGCTGAGCTGCCTAGGCTGGGCTTGAACTTGTGATCCTTCTGCCTTAGCCCCACAGGTTGCTTGGTAGATGCTGACAGACTACACCACTGCTACCACACACACATAGTTCTTGCTCTTTAATATATGGCTACAAGACTTTAAGTTATGGTCTATATTGACTAAATTATTTGAAACACCAATGTAACATTATGTACTTTTTGTTGCTTACCAAATTGTTTGGGAAAACTGAATTCTAAGTATGACTCCATTACTGACAAAACAAGTCCCCTTACAGCATCTGGTCACCAGGATCTTAAAAAAAAAAGGAGTGTATAAAATGGTTTCTAAACTCTATTTCAAGGACAAGATATATACTTCACTGATACACTGCTTGCCTAGCACACACAAAGCCCTGGATTATTAGATCCCCAGTGCTGCAGGCACGGGCTAGAAATAAAGCATATTCTAGTCTTAAACTGAGACAGGAAGCAGCAGAGTACAGTAGAAAACCAGCAGGTCTGAACACTCTGGTTTCCCGGGGGACTCAACCACTTATTCATTCTTCATGGTAGCCAAATCACTTATGTTCTCTGAGATGGATCATCAGCATATGCACAATGGGAGACAATAACGACCTCCTAGAGCACTAAATGACACAGGTGACAGTTCTAGGCACTCAGTCTAGCACACAGGTCAAATTTTATATCTGAGCTATACAGTGCTTCAGCACTTTCAAAATAAATATAAACCTCCGTTTATTAGTACATCTCACTACATGAACCTCCTTTACAGTAACACTCATCATATTTACTTCCTTTTTAAATGTGTAAGTTTTTTTAATGCTGAGGGTGAAACCCAAACTCTTGGAAGTTAGGCAAGCACTTTATCACTTAGCTATACCCACAGCCCACAGTTATTTTCTTTTTAACTGTATAATTTGTGGAGTCCTGTTGATCTTGATTAATAGGACAAAGAACCCCAGGAGCCTCTTTAATGCAGCCTGGCTGGCAGGAGATGATGGCTTCTGCTCTCTGGAAATAGATATCCTACTCCTCAGCATTAAGCTTTTCCTACACACCTCAGAGAATGGAAGAACCATACTACATCTTGTCTAGAAAGTGGCACCTTCGGTTTCCCTGTCCCACTGTTCACAAAAAGTTAGAGACTTCAATCCCCAGAAGAGAAGGACAAGTTTGCATTTCTGTATCCTCTCTTGGGGGTGACTTTATTTGTTATTTAGTATGTGCCAGGAACAGTTCTTGGTCCATAAGAAATATCAGTGTAAAGGCAAGGGGTGCGGCTTAGTGGCAGAGCACTTGTCTATCATATGTGAGACCCTGGCTTCAATCCTTGGCACTGAAAAAAATGAAAATACACCAGTGTATTAAAAACAGAAAGAAAGATGGTAATGGTGCCACAGGCCAGGAACTCCAGAGGCTGGAAGATCACTTGAGCCAAGAAGTTTGAGACCAGTCTAAGCAATATAGCAAGACCCCATCTCAAAAAACAAACAAATAAAAACCTTCTGTCTTGAGGGTTTGAATCTAGCTATTTTTTTCTTATAGCACTGTATAATGGAAAAGTAGGAGCTTTAGAATCTGACAGATCTGGGTTCTAAGCCCCAAATCTACCATGTACCTCATAGTTGTAATGTTCATAATCACATATTCTGACTCTCAGTAGCCTCATTGTAAAAATCCAAATTATCTGTGATTGTGGTGAGATTTAATAACCTGTATGTACTCCACTGAGTCCCTCGTTTTAACACTGCTCACTAAGGAGCTCCAGGACACCGAGCACAGCCTCAGTGAGGACACTGTGTGTGACCCTGTTCACTCGTGTCCATCACTCTGTCTGGCCTCATGTCAACTGGGTCAGGTGCATGGTCCACACTGGACACACTAACTGCCTTTTTAAATGTCCTCAGAGAGATCACTCTAGAACTGGATATTGAAACTGAAAGGCATGGAAACGGTAGAAGGGCACAAACTTGGTTAAGGAAACAAATATCCTCCACTGTAGTAATGACCTTAATACCCAGGCCTCTATGGGAACTGGGTATAAAAGACAGCCCATGTGGATAAGGCTGCACGATGAGTTATTATTACTGAGATCTGTGAAAAATTGGCCTGCCAAAGGCCAGATGGGAACGTCCCAGCATGGAAACATCAGAACAGGCAGGTATCACATGATGCTCAGAGAAGACTCCTGGAGACAGTGGAGTGACTTCTTTTGAGAATATCACTCTGGGGCAGAGGGTGTGGGTCAGGACAGAAGGTCTACCAAATCTGTGTGAGGCTCTGGGTTCAATCCCAGCACCAACAAAAAGACACAAAAATAAAACAAAAACAACCCCCCCAAAAAAAACAGCCAGACCACTCGTGCTCCTGATACCACAGAGTATTCCACTGAGTGGGATACCACCAAGGTCCCCAACCCCAGAAGAGATTCCAAAGAATCATACACTTATAGTGAAGAAATTTTAGTCATTCCTCAATTTATTTCACTTACATTTCTCCTGTCCTGCATATATAAGAATGATAAAATAAGTAAGGTGTCGTGGCACATGCCTGTAACTCCCACACTCCAGAGGCTGAGGCCAGAGGATCACCATAAAACTAAATAAATATATTGGGCTGGGGATTTAGCTCAGTGGTTTCACCATGGTTCGCATGCCCAAGGTCCTGAGTTCAATCCCCAGTACCAAAAAAAAAAAAAAAAAAAAAAAAAAAAAAAAAAAAAAAAAAAAGAAACCCACACATAACAAAACAAACCCTAAATAAATATATAAATAATATATAAATAAACAAATAAACAAACAAAATTCTAAGGGACAAAAAGCACTGGTGTCTGAGTCTAATTGGCCAGGGTTTCTTCCTTTTTATTTGTTTGTTTGGGTTTTTTTCTCATTGAGTTTATTGGTACATTTTAGGTATACAGTACAGTTACATTCATCATTGGGATCTTGTACCTTTACACGACAGGTCTTGGTTCTCATTTTTTCCCCTTACCCCTGCCCTCCCTTCACCCCCTCCTCCCCCTTCCCTATTTACAAATACTTTATTTCCATTTTTTCATTTTCTCATGTTATTTTTTTCTTTTCCCTTATTTCCTTTCCCCTACCCTTCCCACTTCCCCTACATCTTTAGTCCTTTTCTTCCTATTTCACATTGTCAATAATGATATAATTGACAATATTTTTGTTTTTTGAGACAGGGTCTTGCTATGTAGTCTAGTCTGCCCTTTTTTTTTTTTTTCTTTTCTTTGCAGTACCAGGGATCGAACTTAGAACCTAGCACTTCAAGGCACATGCAGTGCTACTGGACTAAATCCCCAACTCTGGCTGCCTTTAATTCACTAGTAGCCCAGGCTGGCCTCAAATTCACAGCAGTGCTCCTGCCTCAGCCTCCCAAGTGCTGGTGTGCACCACACATCTGGCTCTTTTTTTCTTACTTATACATAAAATAATTACATCTCTTACCATTAGCATCTTACATTCAATAAAACATTTGTAATCACATAACGTAATGATAAACACTGAAGTCCTTGAAAGAAAGCCAGCAAAGTACTTCATGCCTGGTGGAGAAACACACTCCTTAGCACCTGGACAGCACTGGGAATAAAAATGAAAGGTGAGCAAAATCCTGTTCCTATACAGTTCACCGTCTAAGGGAAGAGACACTGTTAGCCTCCCAGCTCACCCCTGAAGGCAACAGAGGAGGCTGACCAGAGAAGGAAAGAAAACCTCCCACTGCTCCATGGGCTCAAAGATAAGGCCAGGTGCTCCAGACAGTGGCTTCTCCATGTGTCCAGCCCACAAGTAGGCCTCCCAAGTTCCCATGCCACCTCACCCTGTCATCATCACTTCATCCCACCATCCCTGGGCCCTTCTTGGCTAAGGCTGCTACCATGAAAGCCCCAGGACTTGGAGTTCAGAAGCTTCTTGTCTTCACTGCTCACACACAGAGAAGGAAAGAGGCGCCCGCGGCTTCAGAGGGAGCTATAAACCAGGTATGATGGCACTCGCCTGTAATCCCAGAACCCTGGGAGGCTCAAGCAGGAAAATCACAAATTAAAGCCCTACCTGGGAAATTTAGCAACTTAGTGAGACCCCATCTCAAAATAAAAAAATTTATTAAAAGAGCTGGGATGTAGCTCAGCGTGAAAGCCGAGTCCCTCCCATTACCAAAAAATAAAAACAATAATAATAAAAAAGAATCAACTGAGGTCTCTACACTGGGCTGGTAACTTATATGCCAGATGCATCATTATTGTTAAGGAAAGAAGCATATCACATTCTAGAAAATGCACTTACGTATTACAAACTAACTAGGAAAACTACTCCTTTCCTGCTGGGCAATACTAGATATGCTAGAGAACAGTTATAAAGAGATGGATGGCCCTGCAAAATAACCAGAAAAGTTATGAGAAAGAAAGTGGAAGAGGCTGTGTCCTGATCTGGGGAAGGAGCTATGCATGGACTGGGAGAATGGAAGGAGATGAACACCATGGAAAGGGGTTCTCTCGTTCTCTCCCTGATAATACCCCAAGCCCACCACTCACACCCCCACCTATCTGCAGCAAGTTGCAGATTTAGCTGGCTGGAGCTGCACAACAGTGGGGAGACTCCAGGGCAGTAGGGAAGACAGGCGGGGAACAGATCCCATGCTGTTCCCTGCCATACACTGCTTCCTCCAGGGCAAACAGGAGACTCTCTGGCCTGATATACAAGCAACTGCTCACTTGAGGTAACCTTTTACCCTTTTCTCAATGAATATGTATCAGCCACACAGTAACTCTTACTGACCAAACACAAAAAGATCATTCCTCTGCAATACTTTATAGAAGTTAGTCTCCATTTAAAGGGGCAACGCTTGAGCTCACTTTAAATGAATTACCATAAATAATATAGCCACTGGACTATGAATTTGGTTTTGCACAGAATGGTATTAGAGTAGGGTATTAAAGTCAGACAGCCTGGCTTAAAACCTTGTATCTGTCACTGGCAGCTTTTAGCAATTCACTTAATAGCACTGAGCTCCAGTTCCTTCATTTATAAGGATAAAGAACCTAGGACAGCCATTGTAACTCATGTACATAACACAAAATACCTTCACATGAAGAAGCACAAAGGAAGCCCTTTTGAATTGATATTTGATTAGATTCTACCTATTAACTGAAAAAAGCGATTTTTTTTTCCTCTTTACAGAGAAAACACAGCTTCACTGAGGCATTCACTGATAAAAGAGGAAAAGGAAGATTAGAGGAAATCCAATGCTATGAGACTAAATAACAAAACAGGTGTTAGCACTAGAAGAGAAATTCCAGACCCACGGCCCTCAGGCCTCAGCACCATGAAATATTATTATATTTGTCTACATCACAACGTAAGCGGAGCTCACGTCTGTCTAGCACTTACTATGCACCAGGCATGTTCTAAGTACTTCATGGGCATCGACACATTTCATCCTCACAATATCTATGAAGTAGTCCATTATATATTGCTCACTGAAATGCCTAATTTGGGCCTTAGTTTGACAGTGACTTTTCTCCATCACTCCTCATCAAACTTGTCTTTGATGTAAGATGAGGGACTGAGAGGAAGGTGCACTGACTTGCCCAGGGTCATGGGGCTGGGAGGCACGGGCACCGCAGCACATGCCTGGGCTTACAGCTAAAGCCTTCATGGTAAACCAGAGTCTGTACTACTCATCCCACAGGCAAGAACCCCTAACTGTCTGTTACAATGCCAATATATATGATTCCATTAATAGGCTATATAAAAATCACAGCCAACCTCACTTTACTATTTTTTATGTGAAACTAAGAAAAATAAATTCCCA